TTTTTAATAATTCTAGATAATTAAGTATCAAATAATAATAATTCAAATATATTTAGATAACAATTTCTTATTATAATCAAAACGGTTTTATATACTTGTATTTGGTGCCTACAAGAATCAAGTGGTAAAGGTAAACCAGTTAGTCAGTCAACGCGTACAAAACATATAAAAAAACAGAAAAAATATTGGTCTAATCTAGATAATATGCCTATACTACAGTGATGACTAGACACTTCTATTTCTCATATTCTAATAGCATTATCATCTGCTACTATTGTGAATCCATTATCTACATCTCCGTTATTGTTACCTGCTAATGTTTCAATATTATGTCAAGCGAATCAAAATAATGGAAATCAAGATCATAATAATGAAAACGTTATAAGTGAAGAAACAGTGATACAAAGTTATATGATGTCTGATGAAGAAGATCAACTCGAGATATTGGAGGATGAAGAAGAAAGTGATGAGGGCAGCCAAAGCAGTTATATAATGTCTGATAAATTGTTTAATGAAGATCAACTCGAAATATTAGAAGATAAAGAGAAAGATGATGAAGGCAGTCAAGACAGTCATATAATATATGACAAACTATTTAATAAGGATCAACTCGAAGTATTGAAAGATGAAGAAGATGATGATGAAGGTAGTCATATAATATTTGATGAACTCTTTAATGAATATTAATTCGAAATATTGGAGGAAGAAGAAGATGATGATGATGATGAAGATGAAGAAGATAATGATGATGATGACGATAGCGATGATGAGAATAATGAAAAAATTAATGAGGAAGATGAGAATCATGAATATAATGATAAAATTTCAGAAGATTTAATCAAAGGTTTACAGCTTCTCCAAATTAAGGATAGACATAACATCTCAGATGCTGCATTTAACAAAATTCTTAAAGTTTTAGAAATTTCTGAAACATTTATTTACAAACTTAAAAAGTTTCTTGGAAAATTATTCCATTGGAACTGAATCTTATAGATTGTTATGTCAACTCATGCGTAGCATTTACTAGAGAGCTTTCTAATAAGAACTAATGTCCAGAATGTAAAGAAAATTGTTACAGGTCTAATCTGATTGCAAGAAAAAGTGCTGCATACTGGTCACCTATAAATTCACTTCAAGAACAATATAAAGATAAAGATCATATTAATACTCTTCTTTACTGACATAATTATACATCAACAGATAAATATAATTCTAATAATTATATAGGTGATATATTTGATAGTATTTGTTATAAAACTTTAGTTTCTTTAGAATTCTTTTTAGACTATCGGGATATTGTTTTGATAGTATCTACAGATAGATATCAAATATTTCGTCAAAAATGAGATGACTGCTAGATTGTTCTTTTAATAAATACAAACTTACCACCTTCTATACGTATTCAACGTGAAAATTTAATGATTTCTGTGCTTATTCTAGGACTAAAAGCTCCAAAGAATTTTAATTCTTTTTTATGACTACTAGTTGATGGATTAAAGCAATTACAAGGTAATATTACTATTAATTTGATTATTTATTTATTATATATTGTATATTATCTACTTATTTGTTATAATAAATATAGAAGGTATCCAATGCTTTGATAGTATAACTGAAAGTACATTTACTCTCCGTGCACACATTCTAAGTTAGTCTGGTGATATCCCTGCACTCGCTAAAGTTATGTGTACAACTGAACATAATTCATATAAGGCTTGCTGATTTTGCTCAATTCGTGAAGTAATTCATCAAAGAAATCGTCATGTCTACTTTCCATTCAAGCCTCCAACTAGTGTTTCAAATATTCAGTATAATCCCAAAAACCTTCCATTACGAATACATAAAAATTATATACAAGATGTTATAGCCATAGAAAATATGAATGGATCATCATGTAAACGCGAAATGCAAGCAAGAGGTAAGTTAATAGTATTGAAAATAACATTAAAAAATAATTATTAAATTATAATTTTAATAATTTATCTGTTTCC